TTGGGAGCGAAACAAGCTGGTGGTGCGATGTTCATACTTCAACTCTGGGCATGGGAGCATCTTCCGTTTCTCGCACCTCAAGACCCTCGGGAATTCTGGTTGCCAGATGATGAGCTACGATTTGTAGCAAATCCCCCATATGGTTTCAAGTAAGTTCAATTTAAGTTGAATTTATTTTAGATATGCAATGGTAGCTAGTTAGGTGAATTTAGATTTTAGTGAACTTAGTGAACTTAGTATGCAATTTTAAGTATGCAATTATAGTATTTTAGTGAACTTAGCTATCTTCCAACTAAGCGAATTTAGAGACATTTTAGGTCTGCAATTCTAGTATTTTAGTGAATTTAGATATCTTCCAAGTAAGTGAATTTGGATTTATTCTAACCAAATCGTATTTAGCTAATTTAAAAATTGCTTATATATGTACTTTTGCTTAATTAGGTGGATCGGAGCAAATACTAACGACCACCAGGCCGAGCACTCTTTACTGTTTTATCGTGCTGAATTTGATAAGCCTTGGTGGAACCAGGTAAAAATATTGAATGTCATGATTTTAAATTTATTAGGTGGAGTGGATATAATTTTTACTAATTACGTGAATTGTAATGATTGTAGGCGGTATGGGATCCATATCCAAATGAAGTGGTTGAGTTGCATCGTCTTAGACATCCCGAGGATCAAGAGACATGGTTGTGCAAGGTGCCCTTAATCTGCTGGCACATGGTGGAGTGGCACCTGCCCGATCGATCTTTGAGGCAATATCGATTGGAGCAACCAATTCCAGCATCCCCACCTCAAGGGTTCAGGGAGCTCCACGTCATTTGGTTTCGGATTGTGTTGTTTTCCATTAACTATCTGTCGGCTAAATTTTGTTGGTTTTTACCCCCATGTTGTACCAAAATGAACAACAAACGCCCTTTATTACAATCACTCAACAAGATTAAAACAAGAAGTCCAAATTAAACATCACAACAACGAAAACTACTCAACAAGATTAAAACAAGGAAGTGAACAACAACAACATCAAGGTAGGTTCGGAATTGGCGCCGAATCTTGCTCTAGAGGTGGACCTGGGCAACGCCTCTTGTCATGACCCGGTTGTCTGCACTTTGAGCAACGCTTTGGACCCCGTCGGGCACGTTGTGATTGGTCCATTTCATTGTGAATCCTTTCGGTCCTAGGACGACCTTTGGTGCGCTTTAAGTGTAACGGTGGGATAATCAACTTCCCATTGTCTACAGGCCAATAAGCTTCATCCGGCAGGGGGCTAAAACTTGACGAGTAGGAGTTCCTGATCGCCTGTTCCGTGTAGTAAGGACTAACCAAACTGTAAGCGCTGAGGGTTATCGACTTAGCTACTGCCATTGCATGTGAACAAGGTACTCTTCTGTTTTGATACTTTTGGCATGTACACTCTCCGGTGCGAGTTTCTACGTGTAGAGTTACGGATTGACGATTATGCCCACGTCTTCCTCCACCCCAGATACCTGTTTGCACAGCAAAAATACCCTCATTGCGGTTGAACAGAACAACTCTGTGCTTACTTGATTTCTCTTCGATCTTCTGCATGCCGTCAAATATATGCTTAGCTATTGAATGACCAGCACGCTCCCTCCCTATAGCAGCATCCCGTCTCTTCACAAACCACTCGTTTACCTTCCAGTATGTCATCTCCACTAGGACAGATACAGGCATTGCCCTAATGCCCTTGTAGACTCCATTTATGCTCTCCCCATGGTTGGTAGTTGCAATTCCGAATCTAGCCCCGTTGTCCATGTGAAATGTCCACATGTGCAGATCTTGACCTTCTGCCCATACTGCTCCCGCCCGGTGTATTTGACGGATCGTCTTCATCTTCTGCTCGTACTTTTTTGGTTGATGTGCAACCGCTACAAGACCGGAGAATTAATAATTAATCCATAAGAATTGTCATTTGAACAATAAACCTTGAACAAGCACTGAATTACATTATTACCTGCACTCCATAATTGATCTCTGATGTCTTTCTTCTTGCCAAATTTGTGTTGGAAATTGGCTAGGAAGTGACGAATACACCAACGCCATGTCCATCCCCATTCGTCCGGGAAACCACGGACGGCGTGTTTAATCCCGGCATGTCGATCCGATATAATTGTAATACCCATTCTTTGTGTGACGTGGGCGTGTAGCTGGTCAAAGAACCATGCCCAACTTAGGTTGTTCTCCCCTTCAACTAATGCAAATGCTAAGGGAAAAATACTTAAATTTCCATCAACCCCAGTGGCAATAAGAAGAGTTCCTTTATACTTCCCAGTAAGGAAAGTTCCATCAACCTGTTAAAATGAATACTGAGTTAGTAAAAATTGAAATTAGTAAAGTAATGAAGTAGTACAATATTTTGAGTCCGTAATATACCTGAATCACTGGCATGCAGAAGGGAAACCCGTCAATGCATGGCTTGAATGTCCAGAACAGACGATGAAACATCAACTCGTTCTGTACTCGAACTTGATCTTCAGTTTCTACGTTGTTGTACCAAGGCACGGAAACCGTCCCAGGGTTGGACTCCTCCATTGCGGACATTAGTCTGGGGAGTAAAGCATACGAGTCATCCCAATCACCGTAGACATCAGCCATGGCCTTCTGCTTCCCATGCCACGCCTTCTTATACCTTATGGTGTAGGAGTGTCGATCCTTCACCTCCGCCATGATAGCTTTTATCTTGATATCTGGTTGTGCCTCGATAAGGTGCTTAATGGTTCTTGCCACTTTTTTTGCTTTCAGTTGCCGGTGATCCTGTGAAAGTATGGTTGAGGAGCAACTGTGGTTGTTCTCTGCTGTCCGCATGACCCAGACCCCCTTTCTCTTCATATATGCAGCACGAAGTTGCCACATACAACCCTCTCCAGCATTCTTACAAATGACATGCAGTTGTCCCTTGTCAGAATATTTTACCTTCCATTCGAAATTACGCCGCATGGCTTCTTCGCTAAAAGCGTCTTGCACATCGGCTTTTGAAGTGAACGCCATACCCACTTCCAAATTAGCAGTCGGATTATACACAGGCATGGGCCGATAGTCAGGGGCATCGTTCTGACCATATAAAAATTGATCAGGAACCTCTGTGTAGTAAGGCGTTGGTGCCTGGCGGAACGCCACCTCACTGTCATCGATATCGTCGTTATCGTCCGCATCTTCCTCCTCACTGACTGATCTCAAATCTTCCTCACTTTCATCGTCACTGGAGGCGAATGGATAGCTCGGCGAAGGAGGGTCATCTTTAGCAGCATAACCAGCATCGCCTTCTTGGTCATGCGAAGTACGCCCAGTTCGAAGGGTGTTTTCAATGTCACCCCACTCTGGACCCCAAGCAGGCCATTGATCACCGTCGGGCTGAACGATATCGACGGCAGTCTCACCACCATGTGGCAGGTATTCTTCCCACCCAACAGCTCCTTCAGAACTACCTCCTCCGTAGTTGCTTGAAGTACCTCCCCAACCATACCCTCCGGCAGAAGAACCTGCTCCGTAGTTACTTGAACTACCACCCCAGCCATACCCTCCTGCAAAACCATCATCATAAGAATACTGGTGAGAATGAGTTTCACTGACCGGCTCGGTCTCGACATACACCTCTGCAAGCCGCACCCCGTTCTCAGATATGAACTGTGTCATCATGTTCGCGTCGTCATCGTCATTTATGTCAACTCTTTCGTACATGACTCCGTCAGCACTCATGTTGGGATACCGGTAAGTAATTTGACGAACTCTCATTTGCCCGCCCGTACAAGTCCTTTCTGCACACCTGTCATGGAGTTCTTGCCACGAGAATCTCGACTCAATTGTAAGCGAACTGGATTCGCCATCTTCATAGTCGATCCCAATGTTCGAGTTTGTCACCCGACCATTCCAATAAATAATAAGCCGAAACTTCTTAAATTTACCCATGTCTGCAATTTATAATAATTAAGTATAGTATATAATTAGTACATTATGGATACAAAAACAATATCATCCAAAGCGATAATAAAATGCAACTAATTTATCTATTATGAGAAAACTAAACAAATTCATCTAAATTCATAACTAGCTAACTAACATCTATCATATCATAATTAAACTAAATAATATCATAACATATTTTCCAATAACCGCAATTCACTAAATACAAACAGTATAATTACTAACACATCAACATGTAAAAAATACATACTTATAACATACTCAATCCCGATCTATCATGATAACTAAACAAATTAATCTAAATTCAGTACTAACTAACTAACATATATCATTAATCTAAATATATAATTCTAACATACCTAATTCTAGCACATAATCAAAATGTAAACAATACATAATTCTAACATACCGAATCCCGACGAGTTTCTTGAGCAGTAAACTACGGAGGAACCAGCTGCGAAAACGATAATTTTGGTACTAATTTTCTGTTTGGCAGCAGGAGTGTTTGGCAGCAGGAGGGAAGAGGGGGCGTGGCTTTTTATAGGAAAAATTGGAGGCAATCACCGCTTTGGACAAAGGCGGTGAACCATCATCGCCTTAGTCAACAGCGGTGATGGCTAGGTAGCTGTTACCTACCTGTCCACCTACCAGGGCTGTGTAAAACGTGGGGGCAATCACTGCTGTGGACAACAGCGGTGATGGCTTCACTGTTGATGTCCAAAGCGGGGAACGTATCACCGCTTTTGACCACAGCGATGATGCATTCCCCGCTTTTGTCCAAGGCGGTGATGCGTACCCCGCTGCTTCACTGCTTTGGACAAAAGCTGTGATCAACATCACTGTCTTAGACAAAGACAGTGATGTTGAAACTGCTGTATTTTGGGAATTAGTTTTATAAGTACTGTATTTAGGGAATTTTTTTTAATAACTAGCGTATTCTGGGATTTTTTCCCCATTCTCCACCCACGCAATCCAAAAGATCTTCACAGACCAGCGGAGTTCGAAGCTCTGCTTTTTGGCCGACTAGCCCGGTGTTTCCCGCCTTTTCCAACCCGACGATGAACCACCGGCTGCTCATTTCGGCTGTTCTCTTGCAACTCTTCGTCTCCGCATCCGCCGCGAACTTCACCGATGGCGAATCGACTCTCCGGCTACGGACGCCGAACGGCGACATGTGCGGTCAGCTCATCCAACCGGCCGGCTACTCTTGCACCGAACACGCTGTACTATCTCTTCTCCCTTTCTCTGATTCGTTTGATTTCGGTAATTAGTAACTTTTTAGGAGCGTGTTAGGTGAGCGAGCGCTTCAACCGACAATTTAATTTGTTAATATAGGTAGACATTTGGTTCCCTATTATCAGAATATGGCACCGGCGTTTGTTTGGTTGCCGAGTAATTGGGCGATGCAATTCAGGCCTTGTAGTCGCCACATCTTAACCATATAAATTATAATATCATTTTGTTGTAATCGAAGAAAACAAAGAGGTCGGCGGTTTTGTTTGCTTCGTAGGGATGTTGACTTCGAGCAAGCAAAATGATGGATAATGGATTAGCTTCATGGATTTCCCAATGATTTGAAACTGTAACTTGGATCCCATAGTTGACTCAGTGATTGGAATCAGATTATTGAGTGTTCATATAGATTTCTATAAAACAAGAATTGATTTCATCAATAACTGGCGGATTGTCGTTTCAGATCGAAACTACAGATGGATACTTGTTGGCTCTCCAGAGGGTTTCCTCCAGAAATAGAAATATCACCTTGAATCGTGGTCCTCCCGTATTGCTTCAACATGGACTCTTCATGGTGAGCTTCATTTAAATCTACTTCCACCCTTTTTATATTGAATCAAGAAGACACATGATATGATTGATTGTGATTATGTTTGCCCTTGAAATTATCGTTTCTCTGATCAAAGTAGACTTGTTACAGTTTGTTGGATCTCGCCCTTGTCTGCTAAAAGGGCCAAAGGAGTTGAGTATGATTGGTTTAATAGTTTTCTATAGACAACCTATTTGTTCTGTTTGCTTGTTGATGAATGCATCAGATTCACTCCTGTAATAAGGATTGAATGAACTGCTTATTTCCTTTCTTTGACGTAGGAATTTGTCTTCATTGGGGATTTGAAGCCTTTCGTTCATGGTTGAGATTGATACTTGTTTTTACTTCTGCTTTAGAGACAATTGTGTATATGTTGCTTTTACGTTAAACCAATATTTTATCCTCATTTTTAATTTCTATGGTAAAAAACCATCTTTACCGTTGATTTAGGTGGCAAGTGTTGAAATTTGTTTTTGAGTAGAAGTTTTCCTCGAGTGTATGATATCCAAAATTCATTGGTGTTTGAATAATCTTTCTTCCATTGCTTTAGACAGCCCCCTCTGAGTATGAAATTATCTTACTAACAAGTAAAATTTAGAGTTTGTGATGTCTTGGGTTTAGCTAAGTTTCCAATAAATTTCGCAAATTACTAAAATGGAAGGAATGTAAGCTATTTGGGTAAGTTAGATGCCAAATTTTGTACAATTGGCACATTTGATAAGCTTGAGCATTTACAAGTAACTCTTCCAAAGTAAGACATACCTATACACCAAAAAGAGCACCAATGCATTCAGAACGCATCTCAGCTCGCACTGTGTTATCGCGGAACAATCTGTATATGACATGCATATCTTAGTTTCCCCTGTGTAATAAGTCATGAACTTGCTTGCTAATTGAGGGTTGTCTTATTGGTTCTTCTCATGTGCGTCGACTTCAAACTGTATACAGGGTGGTGATTGCTGGTTTCTGAATTCCCCTGAAGACTCACTAGGCTTCATCCTTGCGGACCAGGGTTTTGATGTATGGGTTGGAAATGTTCGTGGGACATTCTGGAGTCATGGGCATGTATCTTTGTCTGAGGACGACAAGGTAAACCAGTATGTGTGGGATACAGACCATAGCATGGGCAAAGACCAACTGACGACTGTAGATTTGCACGATTAGCTGTGCATTCCCTGTCTGCTCGTACACTGACTATCATTCGGCATATGTATATGCTACTTGCAGGAATTTTGGGATTGGAGTTGGCAGGAATTGGCGCTGTATGACCTTGCAGGGATGATTAGTCACATATATTCAGCCACAAAATCAAAAGTTTTCCTTGTTGGTCATTCTCAGGTCTGTCATTTCTTCCTCTACGTGTTGTTTTCAGTTGATTTGATTGTTCGCGTGTCTTATGTCTTTCTCTCGGTTGTATTCATTGACAGGGAACGATAATGTCCTTGGCTGCACTCTCACAGCCAAATATTGTGAAAATGGTTGAAGCTGCTGCGCTTCTATGTCCGATATCTTATTTGGATCATGTAACTGCTCCTCTTGTGCATAAAATGGTTACTTTACACATCGATCAGGTTGGTTTTATGCTACACATCCTTGCCTATTTTAGTCACACTGTCCGAACTCATTCTGACTAGAAACTGTCTGACATTTTTCTGGACAGATGATTGTTGCCATGGGAATACATCAGTTGAACTTCAGAAGGTTTTTTTGTTTATTTATCTCTGCTTGTTGATAAGTTATTTGAAGTTCTAAAAAAGGAAGTTGGTATTGCATTTTTCTTCAGTGAGTTTTTGATCAACCTGTTGGACTCCTTATGTGCGGACCTTCTACATTGCGATAACATGCTGAGTTCCATAACAGGTACCCTCTCCTGTATGAGTAAATTTTTCCTGTCATTCGTCTTGGTGTGCTGAATATGCAGTTAAGGGAATCAGTTTGTTGTTGCTGTTCATCTTCACTAAAGTAGGCTTTGATTTTCCTTATCATAACGGGATTATTCCTTCTCTGTTTTTAGCTATTCAAAAGGGTGTATGGAGCTTTTCTCCAGCAGACTTTAGTTTGGTTAATCAAACATCTTCATATCTAGACATAGTTCTAGGAATTTCAGTCCAGTAGCTCTATCAGTTCTGCAGTTGAACGTAAGCTAGGTTGCTATCCATTCCAGAGAGTACTGGGGTAGAATGAGGCACAGATGCTCTCGGTGTTCCTTTACCCTGTTTGTATTTGTAACAAATAGATGAACATTGTGCATAACCTTGCAGGGGATAATTGCTGCTTCAACGATTCACGCATCGAATACTATCTTGGATACGAACCACACCCATCATCTGCTAAAAACCTGAGACATCTTTTCCAGAGTACGTATGCTTTGTACACTTCTAACTGGAAAGCATCACAAATTTTTAATACGTCAAATTTTCTTCCAAAACTTTATCTGCTAACACAAGCTGTTCTTTCTTTATGCTGTTGGTCACTTGGACAGTGATTCGGAAGGGCACGTTCGCGAAGTATGATTATGGGACGTTCAAAAACTTGCAGCTGTACGGGCAGGCTTCTCCACCCGTATTCGATCTAAGCCTGATACCAGACGCCTTGCCAATGTGGATGGGATATGGTGGTCTGGATGGGTTAGCTGACGTGGATGATATGCAACACACACTGAAGGAGCTGGTGTGCAAGACAGAGTTGCTCTATCTGGAGAACTACGGTCACATCGACTTCCTACTCAGCGTTCGAGCCAAAGAAGATGTTTATGACCACATTATTGGGTTTTTCAGGTCGCTACTGGGCCAGTCCAGCAGTGCTTAGAATATGTCCGGGCCGGTTGGTTTAATCAGCTTTATGGGCCTATCCCCCCTGGTTACGTGTGTGCAGAACTTGTGAATAGTTTATGTATATATCACGTCCCACGATCGAGAAGCTAATGCAGTAAGTGGACGGCCTCGCTAAAGAGGGACCTCAATATGGCCACGATGAAAATGCTATACGATTTCAGTGCATCTTTCTTGTTGTGCATAGAAGATTTGGCGTTGTCTTTCCAAACGAAAAAATGTAACTATAGTAATACAATTACCAGTACATTTACGTATGTGTCAGTAGACCAGGGTCACAATTTTTCTGAACCGGGATCCGGATAGGTGATGTTTGCTTAGCGGTTAAATTATTAAATTGACCGGTAATTGATGGATAACGGTCATATCGTAATAGATTATAAGTTAACGTTGCAGGTACCTGGTAAGTTAATATGACGTTAGGTTTAATCACTAATCGAATAATTAGTTAACTGTTAATTGACAACTAACCGATTATAAATGTCTATGTCTTGCTCCCTTAAAATGATCATATCCCTCTCAAATAAATTCTCAAACAAACAATCTCGTCTCCTCGTAGTCCTTGTCATCTTTTTCAAAATTCCTGCCACTATGAACCAGAAATTAAAAGAGACAAATAGCATTACCGACTATGCAATTGATATATAGGCACCAAAGTTGTATTGATAAGATCATATTGCTTCTAGTAGAGAAAAGATTGAAAAATCCACGCCCCAACCCAATTTCTTTCGTCAATGTCCTTACTCACCTAGTTCGCACTCATCACTCTTCTCCTTCCTCTTTTCGCTTTCTTCTTCTAGTGCCAATAGGAACAACAACCAATTCCAAAATTACTAATCCAACCACTCTCCAACGACCGCACCACCAACCAAATCATAAGCCACATCCACATAGGAACCCGTCCCGCCACCAGGTTCTGTTGAGATCAGCTTTGCAATAGTACTCAGCAAAATCCACAAGAGCGACATCTGGAAACCAGCTCTCACCTCGTGAGAATATCCAATAAACAACAGCTGGAAAGAGATATGGGAAATCTGTTTCAAACCGTCAACAACACACATATGGAAAGAAGAAGAACAGGCAAGGAAAGGAATTGATTCTGGTCCAATGGCTATAGAGTGGAGATGAATATAAATAGAGGTGGAACTTGGTATGTGAGGTAGACGTTTTCATTGTAATCAAATCAGACAGCTGCAAGAGTGTGAGCAGAAGGGTTTGAGTGAAAAGTCAGCACAGGAATGGTGAGGGTTTCTGGGTACTGGTACAAGGGTGTATCAGGGGTTTTCTATTAGCAGGATTGCTGATAGGTTCAGAAGCGCTTCGTCGATCAAGCAGTGTGCAGATTGAACGAAAGCGCAGTGTGTATACTGTAAGTGAGCTTCAAGATCAATTCTCTAGTGGATCGTCAGAAATCGCAAAAGAGCGATTCTCTGACCGTGGATTAGTCGGTGTTGGGTTCATTAACACCTAACACCGGATACCACGTAAAAATTCCGGTGTGTTGCTTCTTTTCAGTTTCTAGCGTGTTCTGCCGAATTTGTTTTGCTATGCTCTGTTTTTGCTTCTGGGTTTAAGTAAAGTTGCAGGGGAAGTAGATTCTACTGGTGGAGGAAGAAAGTTGGTTTGATAGTAGTGAAACGGTGAGGATTAAGTTACAGGTAAAGTGGGCTTGTTAGATTAGGATACATAGTTGGGTCTTAAGCTTAACCCACGACAAAATTGAAGCCCATTATCCCTTTGGCCACACCACAAACACGAGAAGGGAAGGAGATTTCAGTTTCATTCGATCAAAACAGTTTCCTTACCACAGTTCTTCACTTGCTCTGGGCAAAAGTTTCGAATAGTTTTTTGCAGGAAACAGTTGAATCACAGCAAAACAAACAGGGAAGAAGCAGGTGCATCTCGCGCTCGACGCCACCTACAAGTGGTATCAGAGCCTGGTTCTGGTGAAAGGATCTTGCGATCTCCAGAGAAATCAAAATGGCGTCGGGATCGGGAAATGGAGCGGTTCTGTATCTGGCTGATGGTTTCTCTCAGAATCGACCACCACGTTTTGAAGGGGTCAACTATGGCTACTGGAAGAATCGAATGGAACTCTTTATAGGATCAACCGACCCAAAGATTTGGGATAGAGTTCTGGACGGACCACTTGAGGTTAAAGCCGATCGAGGAAAATGGACGGATGAAGATCGAGACAAGCATCAGCAAAATTGCAAGGCCACCAATCTTATGTACTGCGCCCTTGGACCAGAAGAATATCACAAGGTCTCAGGGTGCAAGACTGCGAAAGAAATCTGGGACAAACTCCAGGTCACATATGAAGGCACTTCTCAGGTGAAAATCTCTTGTATCAATGCACTAAAGACTGAGTTTGAGTTGTTCAAAATGATAGAAGGAGAGACAATCAGGCAGATGTACGAGAGGTTTACCACTACAGTAAACAGTCTAGAAAACATGGGAATTGTGTATGAAAGTGGGGATTTAGTTCGAAAGCTACTGTGGTGTCTACCCAAGAAATGGGAAGCCAAAGTAACAGCTATCGAGGAAGCCAAAGACTTGAGCAGGCTACCAGTGGACGAACTAATCGGATCGCTAACTACATATGAAGAAAAGATCAAGCGGGACTCAGGAGAAGAACATAAAAAGGACAAACGTGGATTAGCCTTCAAGACTCAGGCTTACGAGGAAGAATCCGATCACTACGAAGACATGGATGATGACGAACTTGCAATGCTGAGCAAGCATATTTCTCAGCTCATGAGGATGAGAAAAGAGAGAAGACGCGGTCAGTTCTCACACCAATACAGAGATAAGGAAACAGAAAGAGAACAAGGACAAGGAAGGCAAAATCCAAGTCGTATGCATCAGAAGATAAGGAGAGAAACTGGACAAGCCGAGAAAACTCAGACAGGCTGTTTCAAGTGTGGAAGACAAGGCCACATCAAGGCTGACTGTCCACTCTGGAAAAAGGAAAAGGCAATGACAGCAACGTGGAGCTGTAGTGAAGATGATGAAGAGGATTCTCAGGAACAGTTCCACAAGAAGGATGCCTGCTTAATGGCGATTGATGATCAGAATACCGATAACAATCACTCTGAGGTAAGTAAGTTCTCTACTTTTAGTGACTCAGACTACCATAGTGATGATGAACTTTTGACTAGCACCATTAGGAGTATACAACTAGAATTTGCAGCGGTTAAAGTAAAGCACAATAAATTAAAGGAAGAACACGAGGAACTCACTAACAGATGTAGACTGCTAGGTTTACAAGCTGAGGAATACAAGGAGAAATGTGGTGTGTTGACACATACGGTAGCTAAGTTAGAAACCAAAAACTTTGAACTACTTGAGCTAATAGAATCATACAACAGGAATGACTTAAGAAAAGATTACAGTTTTGAGAAGCAGCAGGTAACTAGAAATGTTGCAAATAAAGAATGTTTCTACTGCCATAGAATAGGTCATGTTATAAGACATTGTATGAAGCGTATAAATTCAGAACAGCGAAAGAAGTCTTCAAAAACTATGGGGAACAGTAGAGTAGGGTCTTCTAACGATTTCTTCTCAAAGAAACAAGTACCCAAGCTAGTCTGGGTGCGAAAAACAAGTTGACTAGTGTTAGTACAGGATTGTCTTCAAGTGAGCATGAAGGCAAACAGATGGATTCTCGACAGCGGGTGCTCACATCACATGACAGGAAATAGAGATCTCTTCGTCAAATTCAAAGAAGGTAATGGAGGTAAAGTCTATTTTGGTGACAATAATTCTGCCAAAATTCTAGGACTAGGTCAAGTTGGTCATGGTCCAAGTATCTCTGATGTTATGTTAGTAGATAATCTGAAACATAACCTCATTTCTGTGAATCAATTGTGCAGTCTAGGAAATAGGGTCATTTTTGAAACTAATATGTGCTACATAGAAAACAAGTTGACTAGAGAAATATTGCTCACAGGCAAAAGGGAAGGTAAGGTCTATGTTTTTGATCTTGACAACAATCGTCTGTCTAGGGAGTTGTGTTTAATTTCCTTAAACAAGAATGATCAATATGATTGGCATCGTAGATTAGGCCATGTCAATGTAGGAGTTCTGTCCAAACTAGTTAATCTGGATCTTGTGAGAGGTCTTCCCAAAATCAACAGCAAGAAGGAATTTTTCTGTGATGCGTGCGCCAAAGGTAAACATACTAAGTCAAGTTTCAAAATCAAAAGTGTGATCTCAACTAGTAAACCTCTCGAGCTTCTTCACCTAGATCTGTTTGGGCCAACGAATATCATGAGTTATGGAGGTAAGAGCTATGCTTTCGTTATAGTAGATGATTATTCTCGGTTCACTTGGGTGCTTTTCTTGTCAAGCAAAGATGAAGCTTTTGAAAATTTCCGAATGCTATCCAAGCGAATAGAAACCGAGAAGCAAGGTAAGATAATTGGGATCAGAAGTGATCACGGTGGTGAGTTCATTTCAGACAGTTTTGACTCTTTCTGCCTAGAATAGGGTATTCATCATAATTTTTCTGCCCCTAGGACTCCGCAACAGAACGGAGTAGTAGAAAGAAAGAATAGGACTCTGATCGAAATAGCAAGAACTATGTTAAATGACTACAGTCTTCCCAAACACTTTTGGGCAGAAGCAGTGAACACTGCTTGTTATGTCATTAATAGAGCTTTGGTTAGGTCTGGAATTAAGAAAACCCCTTATGAAATTTGGAAAGGCAGGAAGCCGAATATAGGATATTTTCATCCTTTCGGATGCAAGTGCTTTGTGCTCAACACAAAAGATAATTTGGGAAAATTTGACGCTAAATCCGATGAGGCTGTCTTTCTGGGGTACTCGGGTGTGAGTAGAGCTTATAGAGTGTTTAACAAGAGGACCCTCAAGGTTGAGGAGTCCATAAATGTTATTTTTGACGAATCTGTATGTGAGGTTTCAGAAGAATCAGATGATGATGATTTCGGACTTGGAAGAAGCAGCATCCTTACCGAAGCTGAGGCTACTGCTAGTAAAGAAAATAAGGCAGATAATGAAGAAAATATCGAGGCAGAACCAGAACATGGAGAATTGCACCCACCTCCTCACATCAGCAAGCGACACCCTCCATCTTTGGTAATAGGTAAGCTACATGAAGGTATGACCACTCGATCAAAGACCTCTTCCAATCATACATCATTTGTCTCTTTAATAGAACCAAAATCTGTAGAAGAAGCCATGTTAGATGAGTTTTGGTTAGCTTCCATGCATGAGGAAATGAATCAATTTGACAGAGTAAAAGTATGGGAACTCGTTCCTAAGCCTGTTGATGTAAATATCATTGGAACTAAGTGGATTTATAAAAACAAATCAAATGATATAGGGGAAATCATCAGAAATAAGTCTAAGCTTGTTGCTCAAGGCTACTGCCAAGAGGAAGGCATAGATTTTGAGGAATCTTTTGCACCGGTAGCTAGATTAGAAGCAATCAGATTGTTGTGTGCTTTTGCCAGTTCAAATGGTTTCAAACTTTTCCAAATGGATGTGAAGAGCGCTTTTTTAAATGGTGACTTAAGAGAAGATGTGTACGTGTCTCAACCTCCGGGGTTTGAAGACTTTAAGTTTCCTAATCACGTATACAAGCTTAAAAAGGCTCTTTATGGTCTAAAACAGGCTCCCAGAGCTTGGTATGATAAATTAAGCGAAGTCATGATCAGTAATGATTTTCACAGAGGCTCGGTTGACAAAACTCTTTTTATTAAATCCAAAGGGTCTGATATTTTGTTAGTACAAGTGTATGTAGACGACATCATTTTTGGGTCTACTAATGAAAATCTATGCAAGGAGTTCGAAGTTCTTATGAAGGAATCTTTTGAGATGAGCCTTATGGGTGAACTCAGCTACTTCCTGGGTTTTCAGGTAAACCAATCGTCCAAAGGAATCTTTATTAATCAGAATAAGTATTTGTTGAACATGCTTAATCGGTTTGGTCTTGAGAATTTGAAACCTGCCTCTACTCCCATGGCTTCAAATTTGAAGCTAGATAAGGATGAATCTGGGGTTCCGGTGAGTGCTAAACTATACAGAGGCATGATAGCAATCACCACCCGGACATCATGTTTAGTGTGTGTCTTTGTGCTCGGTTTCAGAGTTCACCTAGAGAAAGTCATCTCTCAGCAGTAAAGAGAATTTTCAGATACTTAGGAGGAACTGCATCTCTAGGACTCTGGTACTCTGCTCAGTCCAGCTTAGATCCGGTAGGTTACATTGATTCAGACTTCGTAGGTAGTCTTACCGATAGGAAAAGCACTTCTGGTGCTTGTCATTTCCTAGGATCATCTCTAGTCTCTTGGTTTAGCAAAAAACAAAACTCTGTAGCCTTGTCTACCGCTGAGGCTGAGTATGTGGCAGCCGGATCATGCTGTACCCAACTGATCTGGATAAAGCATCAATTGCAGGACTTTGGTGTTAAGTGTGATAATCCCATGCCAATTTTGTGTGACAATACAAGTGCAATAAACATTGCCAAGAACCCGATTCAGCACTCAAGAACGAAACACATAGACATCAGGTTTCACTTCATTAAAGAGTTAGTTCAAGAAAATAAAATTTGCTTAGAATTTATCCCCTCTCAGTTTCAGTGGGCAGACATTTTTACCAAGCCTTTAGGTACCGAGCAATTTGCTGTAATTAGAAGGGAATTAGGACTATTTCGGTTCGAGGATGTGTGCTAGTTCAAACATTTTTTGAGTCTCTCTATGGATGTAGAGAAGGTTCCATACGTCCATGACAATTTCAGGCAAGTTTCTGCTCTTCTACTCATCTTAAGGAAACCCGAGTAAGTCTTCTCAACACCTTCCATTTTAAAATTTGACAGCTCTGTGATTTGATTCCCTATCACATCTCAGTCTTTGGGAAGTACGTTGAAGTGTTATGTTAAGTCTGAATGATCTTGTGGTAACTTCACTGCCGTCAATCTTAATCTTCCTATTCTTCATCTAAATGATTTGATTCTCATTATTATGATTCATCCCCTCTGGCCTACACCTTCTTCTATTTAAAACCTTCTTCTCGGATCCATTTCTCCTCACCAATCAACTCTCTTACAAAAATTCGATCAAACTCCCTCAAAAATGGCGTTCAACCCCCAGGTCTCTCTCATCATTGCTCGTGCCTCTGTTTTCACGAACAAGGCGTGTGAAAATCCTGAGGATTACCCTCGCTATCTCCGTTACTTTCGTCATAGACGTCTGATCCCATCCTATACCCTAGAGCCTGCCACTTTCTCCAGATATCAGCTGAGGGTGGACGAGCTCATTCAAGCTCTTGGCTGGATCTCTGTGATGGAGCAGCATCGCTTTACTTATTGCCCCGAGGCAGTTCGTATGTTCTATGCAAGCCTTCGTAGAGACCACAATCCTCGTCCAGCTTTCTTCTCCTCAACTGTGTATGGTTTCAGCCATACTGTCACCATGGAGTTGTTATCTCAGACCCTGCAGCTCTCCACTGAAGGAAGATCACTCATGAGTGAGCATGATTTTTATCTTTATCTATTCAACCCGAAAGATGCCATCGCTCGACTTACCTCTGTCGAACCAAGTGACTCGAATTCCACTCTGCTCTGTCATCTCCCTGATGAACTGAAAGTGCTACACTTCTATATTACCCGTATCTTTCTCCCTCGCACTGTCCATCAGTCTGTGGTCACGCCTCTGGATCTCTGGATCATGTCTAACGCAGTGTCCAATCGAAAGCTTAGCCTGCCTCATCTCATGTTCCATCACATGATCACCTATAGTGATATCAACAATGCAGGATATCTCCCTTATGGTCCTCAAATCACTAGGTATCTTCGCTGTCTAGGAGCTGATCTCGATGACAAAGTTCAACTTGTCAATGTTTTGGACACTCTACGGGCTCAGCATGTACTGCGACGAGTAGACGCTTCTGTTGGCGTTCGTAAACCTCGCAATGACCAAGGGGGAGTAGCTGTGCGAAAATCAAAATCAAAGGACCAAGGAAAGAGGAAGCTGGGAGCTTGGATTAAGGGGGAGACTTCTAAGTCGCAGGGAAAAGGCACCCAGATCGATTCTCGCCCAAAAACAGCAGGGAAAAGTATCAAAATCAGGGACAAGATGCCAGAAAATCCACCCCTGGAGCTTGAGGAACCAGAGGAAGAACCCGAAGAAGTTATGGAGGACAACTTCTCTGAAGAAGCTATCTCGGACTATGAGTCCGATCCGGAATATGACTTCTAGTTTCCTGCGTTTGAGTGTTGGAGAGGGCACGCTTCTCTTTTAGAAATTTCTGCTGGGATAATGATTGTGTTTGGCCTGAATTTCGAACTCGTTTGAGTCTGGATTGTGTTTGGTCTGAATTTATAAGTTTTGGTTAATGATGTTTATTTATGTTTTTCTCTGCTCAATGTCCTGTCGAAGTATTCTTGTGTTTGATTTTGCAGAAGGTGGTCATTGCTAAGCTGAGGGGGAGAATGTTGAGAGCAGCTTTGCAATAGTACTCAGCAAAATCCACAAGAGCGAAATCTAGAAACCAGCTCTCACCTCGTGGGAATATCCAATAAACAACAGCTGGAAAGAGATATGGGAAATCTGTTTCAAACCGTCAACAACACACATATGGAAAGAAGAAGAACAGGCAAGGAAAGGAATTGATTCTGGTCCAACGGCTATAGAGTAGAGATGAATATAAATAGAGGTGGAACTTGGTATGTGAGGTAGACGTTTTCATTGTAATCAAATCAGACAGCTGCAAGAGTGTGAGCAGAAGGGTTTGAGTGAAAAGTCAGCACAGGAACGGTGAGGGTTTCTGGGTACTGGTACAAGGGTGTATCAAGGGTTTTCTATTAGCAGGATTGCTGATAGGTTCAGAAGCGCTTCGTCGATCAAGCAGTGTGCAGATTGAACGAAAGCGCAGTGTGTATACTGTAAGTGAGCTTCAAGATCAATTCTCTAGTGGATCGTCAGAAATCGCAAAAGAGCGATTCTCTGACCGTGGATTAGTCGGTGTTGGGTTCATTAACACCTAACACCGGATACCACGTAAAAATTCCGGTGTGTTGCTTCTTTTCAGTTTCTAGCGTGTTCTGCCGAATTTGTTTTGCTATGCTCTGTTTTTGCTTCTGGGTTTAAGTAAAGTTGCAGGGGAAGTAGATTCTACTGGTGGAGGAAGAAAGTTGGTTTGACAGTAGTGAAACGGTGAGGATTAAGTTACAGGTAAAGTGGGCTTGTTAGATTAGGATACATAGTTGGGCCTTAAGCTTAACCCACGACAAAATTGAAGCCCATTCTCCCTTTGGCCACACCACAAACACGAGAAGGGAAGGAGATTTCAGTTTCATTCGATCAAAACAGTTTCCTTACCACAGTTCTTCACTTGCTCTGGGCAAAAGTTTCGAATAATTTTTTGCAGGAAACAGTTGAATCAAAGCAAAACAAACAGGGAAGAAGCAGGTGCATCTCGCGCTCGACGCCACCTACTGGTTCTTCATCGTCGACCTCGCATGTCAAATACCACGCCTCGACTGATACAGAGGTCGATTCCTCCTCCTACATTCACCTCCTTTTTCATACACAGCAACGGCTTATTGACTCTATAGTTTGGGCTTGTCTTCATTGTCCTCCATTAACTTGAGCTTGAATAAGAAATACTGGAAGAACTTGATGTCCGTCTCTGACAAGTTGGGGGGTGGAGAGCCAAAACTGAATACATATTATGCATTTATGCGTTGGTGGCAGTAGAGCAAAGAATTCCACTCAGCAAAATTTGGGGAAAGCAGTTATCATTAACTGACCAACATAAATTGTGCGGGTAGCAGTAATTACATATTAATTAACTGTTACCCAAACCAAATGTACATGGACGTTGGACTGCAGTACAAATATGGCTCCTATTAGCTGAGCCCTACGGTTTGCAATTTTTTTTGTTGTGTCGGTCCATTTTATAGTTTTACTTGCCTCAAACTTTCAAATACTATTAAAGATGCATTTAAAGTTTATAATAAATTTAAAAAGGAATAATTGGTAAGTCCTATATCTCTCATCATCAAGATTCAAATCTCATATTTTTCCCCCGACCCTTCTCTCGCAAATATCTTTCTCTACCACATTGAATGCGTTTGAACAATTGTGGAGAGTTTCTGACTTTCTGACCTAGTGGCCTCTGTTAGATCTTGCAGGCATACGTTTTTAAAATTCGGTGAAAAAAAATCATATTGATTGATAGAAGGATCAGAGATTACACATTGAAATAAATCCAGGAATAAAAATCAAAGATACGACACGACGTCGGAGGCAAAGAAAGGACCTTCAAAGCTCAAAGCCACAAGTGGACTACCTTATTGCTAATCCGACCTACAAATCGAACATGAAAACCACTATGTAGATTGTAGAGCCGACATACGCAGAATGAAGCAACTAATGATCTAGGCGCGTACGGCTAGGGTAGAAGCTTACGACCGAGAGAATTATTTAGGGATTGAGGGACTAAAATATATGAATTGATCGGGGAAGAAGAAGAGCGAGGTTGAGAAGGAAATTCGGCCGCCCCTAGGTAGAGGGAGCCGCTGGGTTTGGGTGAGGAAAAGAGAGGAAATTCTGTGAGAGAGAGAGAGAGAGAGAGAGAGAGAGAGAGAGAGATTAGGGTTTAGGGAATAATTGTTATGTTATTGCTTAATACGGTGAACCCCACCAGCACACAATATATAGAAATAGAACCGACAAATTCCATATAATTACCCAAAATAATGACTAATATCCAAATCATGCAAATATTCCCGATATCTCAAAATAATGACCGAAATCCATAAAACCGAAATATTCCAAATTCGTGGCTCAAATAGTAAGAGGACCGAAGATTTATGTTTTCTACAATCCACCCTCCTTGAGAACAACCTTGTCCTCAAGGTTGGCCTTACTTCAACGACTCATCTTCCTTCATTTCCTCCGCATCTCTAGCCGCTAGCTCTTAACCTTCGTCTTCCCAATTTCCCACAAATAACATCAGATGGCCCTTAGCACACTAGTGTCCCACAGTATACCTCTCATCGCAACTGAAGCAACGTCCATCATGACACTTCTGCTCCATCTTTGCAGGGGTGAGCTTCACAAACCCCTTGGGCGGTAACCGGGCTAGAATGTGCCCTCCATGTGGCACTCCAGTCGTCACCGGGTTTGCCGCTCCTGGTAGCGTTGTGGATACTAGTGGACCTCCTGGGCCCGCGACCGGGTTTGCCCCTATTCCTGCCCAGCTCGAGTTCTTGTTCCAGCGCCCTACACTCCCCTTCTAGCTAGCCAGTTCCTCCTTCTTTCTACCTACAAGTCTAAAAGCAAATCGAAATGAATCAGGCTCAAAGACTTTGACAGAGGCTGCCAGCTAAGGGCACAACCTCGCCATGCACAATCCCACCAGGGTCTCCTCCGCCATACCCTTGCACTAGTTCTCTAATTTCATAAACTTTGACCGATACTCTGCAATGGTCCTAGTCTGCTTGAGCTTCATCAGCTGTTCTGGAGCCCACCCGTGTGACCTCCCAAACTGGTACTTAATCTCCTCCTGAAACATAGCCCATGTAATCTGGGTGATTACCGCGGCATAGGACCTCTCCATCCAATCCCACCACTGCAAAGCATCACCCTCTACATAGAAGTACGCTAGGTATGCCTTCCATTCTTCCCTGGTCTAGTGGTTTCGAAACCACCTCTCTGTTGCAAACAGCTATATCCCCACGCCACTGTAACCGTCAAACCTCGGGAATTCGATCACTAGAGGCTTAACCCTCAACACCAAGTTATCATCTCTATCAAACAAGGGGTTAAAACTATCATACCAGCCCCTGGTCGCTCCATAGTCCCAGGAACCCCGGTGGTAGTCGCGCACACCGTCGTGCCTCGTCTGCTGAGAAAATGACTAGCCGTCTACTTCTTCCCCGTGCTCATCTCCCCCTTCTGTCCTCGTCCTAGAGCCTTGCCCAAGCTCCAACCTTATCTCGTGCTGCCCGTACTCCACTTCCAGTGTGACTAGTGCAGGATATGTCGGACAGAAGGTGCGGTGCAGGCCTCCAGCTCCCCAAGTATGCCCTCCTAGGATGTTGCTCGCTACTGTCCAGGTCGGTCGGTCTTACCCGATTCGAATCCGTTTGGTTCTGTTCTGGTCAGACTTTTCGACTCTTGTCGGGTCCATCTAGATCGGGTTGAGTCAGCAACCCAGCCCTTACCCATCCCTGGTGGGCATGGGTCGGCCCACATCTCTCTTGGCCCACCAGGCTGAATTCATCCCCATATCTAGTTCGGCCCGACTCCAATTGAACCGGTCCACTTCCTCATTGGTTCGCGAATACCGACCCGCCCTCATATCTGTGGGCCTTGGCCTTGCCGCGACTTGCCATCACTCCCGGGCCCGAGGGATTTGGAATTATTCCCAGCCCACCTCCCTATTGGCTCACGCTATCGCCCGCACGGTTAGGGTTTCTCGAACCGTGATCTCACCGCTCAGTGCATTCCCTGTCGAAATCACCGCTGCCTCCCAACTTCAATCCACCTCCTCCTCCTGTCGAGCCTATTCGGCCGTCGCCTCGGCTTCCACGTTGGACGTGACTGCCCGCACCAGCTCGACCGCAAGTCGCCTCGCCTCTGCCTTAGTGGCCCACGCATCCCGGTCTCCCCCTGTCTCGTGTCGCGCCCTGCCTCTATTCCGGCAAGATCTGGCAGGAAGCGTGCCTGCCTCTCCGCCATCTTCAAGATGGCCTGCTCCATTCGTCCAGCTTTCTCCATCAAGATGGTATGGAGTTAGCGGAGATCGACCGCCGTTTGCTCGACGGTCATTGTCAGTCGTGCTCCCGTCGATTTCAGCTCCTCGACGGTCTCTGTTTGCTGATGTGCTATGTCCTTCAAGTTTTGAAGCATCTACTCGTGTTTTGTGCGATCTTTGACAAAGCACGCCAAACCGAACTCTGATACCATTGAAGGAACTAAAGATCTAGGCACATACCACTAGGGCATAAGCTTGCGATTGAGAGAATTATTTAGGGATTGAGGGATTAGAATTTGGGAATAAATCGGGGAAGAAGAAGAGCGAGGTTGAGGACGAAATTCAGCCGCCCCTAGGTAGAGGGAGCCGCCGAGTTTGGGTGAGGAAAAGAGAGGGAATTATGAAAGAGAGATTAGGGTTTAGGGAATAATTATTGTGTTATTGCTTAATATGGTAAACCCCACCAGTACAGAATATATATAATTGTTAAATTCCCTATAACTATCCAAAATAACGACTAATATCCAAATCATGCAAATATTCCCGATAATCCCAAAATCTGCCATCCTGTCGAAGATCTTTCTTTTTAATTCCGCGGTTTTTTCCGCTTGTTCGAACGAAATCCATAAAACCAAAATAATCCGAAGTCGTGACTCTTACAGTAAGAGGACCAAACATTCCTGTTTTCTACACAGAATTTCCTCAATAATAGCCCAACACGGCTATGACGCGCATCCTTGATATTAATCTTGTCAATAAACACTTTGATATCACTTTCAAATTGAATCCGAGCCAGTCCGATGTCCTGACACCATTGAATAGTTTCACAGAATAAAATAGTATCAACCACAAGGGAATCATCCGTATTCTCAAGAAACAAACCTCTGGCTAGGACAACAAAATCTCTTTCATCCTTTAGGATTAACTCTTCTGAATCTGAGTCACCCATACAGTACCGACCCACATTCAGACGAACATCCCTAAATTATCTGTCATTTTGCGGTGACGTTTTCGATATGCAGAAGCAGTGGCGGAGCCACTTGGAGAGGAGGGGGTGCAGGGTTTGGAGAAAAAATTTCCGAGTAGGGGTATATACAAATTCGAACCAATGACCATTCAGTTGCAGGAAGAATTTCTTATCATTTCGATCGAGTGAGTTTTGTTATGTAATGCACTTTCGTCTTTATTTATAGTAATAAATTGTTGTCTTTTGTTTAAATTCACTCATTTTTTTTTAGCTCTACAACAGAGAAATTTCTTGTCTTTTGTTTAAACAAAGTTGAAAGTGAACAAGTACCAATTGAAGTTCAATTGTTTGTTTCACAAAATCAATTCCAAGGTACTTCTGAGTTCTAATTTGTAATATTTGATGAATGGAAGTCTTGATTTGTATGTACTGAACTTATTTGTTTGACGTTGTAACCGGTGTACGTGAAACTATTTTAATGTAATTATATTGTATGAATTTAGAGTATTACGTTGTTGACTTTTTGTTTAATTTAAAGTTGACTTTTCTATTGTATAGGTGATTTTTTATGATATGATAAAGACACCCCTTGGCCAATTTCCTGGCTCCGCCACTGTGCAGAAGCCTGACGGACGAGACATAAGTTGGACATGCATTGAGCTTTTGCAAATGAAATGACAAATGGGTGGTTTGATTCGGAACTCCGAATTAATTGCTAATGAATTTCGATTCTCCCAATTAGCAAGAATAACTGCGAACGACACTTGGCAAGTGCTTTGCATTCAGCTTGGTTAGTTTCGGACTCTCTCTACCTTTTTTTCTACCTTAAAATATGTATAAACTGACCTCCGAATCAGGAAAGGCTTAACATCAGGTTGATTTGAGCCAATTAAGAGCTATATATTAAAAATTATGTGAGAACAAAAATAGGCGTAGCGCAGGATAATAATTTTGACTTGACCCGTTTTATTCGATCTGTTTGGGGATGAACATGGGTATTCTCATCGACCTAATTCGTTATGATCTGTCCCCTTTTCGACATGTTCTTGTCTAAATTATATGTAATTTTAGTAAAATTATTTAGAATTTTCCTTTTATTACATCATATTTTAGCTATTATAAAGTTGTAAATGAGCGAAAACCTCAATTTCTCCAACATGTAATAAATTATTCGATTTCGACTAGACATACCATAGGAAGGGTATGAATATCGAGATACCCGACCCAAACTTGTCCATTGCCATTCCTAGTGTAGGGATGACAATACTATTCAAGGAATGTTTTTCTATATAATATCGATCTATTTAGAAAAAAATTTGCTGGAGGTAGTATGACTTATCTGACACTATATAACCTTAAATAATCCTATCTATATTTTTTTTTTATACAATCAAAAGTTTTTTGAAAATATATATGTTAATTGAAAATTTTTTGAGATACCGTTTGTAAATTGGAGGAGAAAATGTAAAAGATTTGTATGTGAGATAATATAATGGTTAAATTATATAAATGTCTGAACTGATGTTAGAGAGTGAGAACACATATATATAAATATAAGCAGATAATTTGGTAGCGATAATTAAAATATTAAAATGACATCAAGTAACTATTCATGGCTAAGCAATTGAGTTAATCACATGCTTTGTAGTAAATGATTTAAGTGTTAGTATCAGCTGGCTTGGAACTTGAAAATATGAAACTGAATGGCTGCCACTTGTAGAACGAAGCTTTGCCGCCCCCCCTCTCTCTGTTTTTCAAAGCAATATTAAAGGAAACATTTCAAGTCCACCACTACCACTACCAGCAATAATAGGAAAATATCCTTCATTTCTTCATCATCACAGACTTGGCAGCGGAGGTGGAAGCTCTGCTACCTGCAATTCTAGCTACATGCCTTTTGGCGTCCCACGATGAACCAGTACTACCGGCACCTCCTTTCGGGGGTCCTCCTCAGCCTCTTCCTCGTCGCAGGCTTCACCGACGGTGAATCTAGGATTCGGCTGCCGGCGCCCTCTAACCGCGGTAGCATGTGTGATGAGCTCATCCGACCGGCCGGGTACCCATGCATCGAACACACAGTATACTACATAGCTCTCTCTCTCTCTCTCTCTCCTTCTCTCTCTATAATATCATTCCGACCTCGTAAATCTATGATTAATTACCAAAACGGCAGCGCTGTCTGATTTGAGCATGCATGCTAACCGATCGATGAACTTTAAATTCCTTCAATATTCCAATTAATTTGATATAATTAATATGCAATGCAGGCCCAAACTACGGATGGGTACTTGTTGGCTCTCCAAAGGGTTTCCTCCAGACATGGAAACATCACCTCAAACGTCGGGCAGGCTCCTCCCGTACTGCTTCTACACGGCGTCTTTATGGTAATGGAACATGCATGGAATTAGCAAGCCTACTGCTCTGCTGCTACCAAAGTAATCGATGCATGTCATAATTTACGTATCCTTTCATTTCATGCATCGATCGTGAATGCATGCAGGGCGGCGACTGCTGGTTTCTGAATTCTCCGGAGCAGTCTCTAGGCTTCATCCTTGCCGACCAGGGCTTTGATGTCTGGGTCGGCAACGTGCGGGGCACATACTGGAGCCGTGGCCACATATATCTCTCAGAGGATGACAGCGTATATAATATAATATAATTACCCTTTCCATCATATACATATTTATTTACCCTGATTGTTTAAAGTAAAGAATATATATAGAAATGCTACATTAATTAATAACTTTATTCATATCATCGCAGAAATATTGGGACTGGAGTTGGCAGGAGTTGGCGATGAATGACCTGACGGAGATGCTACACTTCATACACGCCGAAACAAGCTCCAAACCTTTCATTGTTGGTCATTCTCAGGTCTCCTAGCTAATTTCTTCCTCGATCGTCTCCATCATCATTTGTTTCCTGTAGCTAGCTGGCTCTCTACTCTAGTGCCAGATGCTGACATGCATGGCATGGCATTGCAGGGGACAATCATGACGCTGGCTGGTCTGACTCAGCCGCAGATCGTGCAAATGGTGGAAGCTGCCGCCCTCCTCTGCCCAATCTCTTATTTGGATCACGTTTCTGCCACTATTCCCCGTCAATTGGTCACTTTCCACGTCGATAAGGTCCAAGTCCCTTCAATTTTCAGTTTTCTTCTAGAGATCGAAGAGAGAGACTGACTAGTCTACCTAAAACATTTTTCTGTTACAAATTCCACCTTTTTTTCTTCTTCTGACACGTGGTACGTACAGCTAATTGTTGCCGCGGGCATACACGAGTTGAATTTAAGAGGGTAAACTAAAATCTCTATTAATTATTACTTCTGTCAGCTTCTTTAATTTGTTCACCATTATTTTTTCCTTTGTAAGTTTGTTTATGTGACCATAAGCGTGGTGGTATTTTTTTCTGGAATCCACATGCAGCAAGTGGTCTAACAAGCTGTTGGGTTTCTTGTGTGATCAATACAAACATTGCGACAACATTCTCAACATCCTCACAGGTTAATTCCTTCCATCTCTTCCTTTTTTCCCCCTCGATCTTGGCATAACAACCTAATTAGGTAGACGATGAGTTCATGTTTGCCATAATTATTTGATAATAATGATCAATGCATTTTGCAGGGTACAATTGCTGCTTCAACAATTCACGCTTGGACTTCTACCTTGAATACGAACCAAACCCAACATCTGCCAAGAACCTCGCCCATCTTTTCCAGAGTACACGCTCGCACTCAATGATTGGCTTTAACATTAGGTGAATAGTATGTTTCGTCTCATCATTACATTATTTGAATGCGTGCAGTGATTCGGAAGGGCACTTTTGCTCGGTACGATTACGGGATATTCAAAAACTACAAGCTTTACGGGCAGACTACTCCGCCGGTATTCGATCTAGGGCGCATACCGGATTCCTTCCCGCTGTGGATGGGGTACGGTGGTCAGGATGGTCTGGCCGACCCGGCCGACTTCAACCACACGCTCAGGGAGCTGCGCGACCAGGCCAAGTTACACTACGTCGACCGCTACGGCCATGCCGACTTCCTCTACGGCACTCGAGCCAAACAAGATGTCTACGACGACTTGATTGGCTTTTTCAGGTCTGTAATGGCCCGACACTCTGCCACTGCTTAGCCCTACTCATGATCATTCCCAAGAAACGAACTGGCCTCGCGGCGGGCCTATCAAGCTCACAACTTAATTTGGTTGTATCAACATGGGCACAAAATGTAAATAGAAAATATGCATCAATAAGGAAGCAAGCTCTAGCTTGTTTCGGGTCACACAACACCACCATGTTTGTGGAATTGTGGCCCAAATGTCAGTATGTACGGAAACCAGTGCCCATTAAAAAAAAAATGTGCCGAAGTTTCTGCTTGTACGTTAATTAAACTTGTCACTTCCTATCAACTTGATACTCAAAACTGATAAAGTCGCAATTTAAGGTGCGGAGAGGCTAAAAATATAGTGCCATAACTTCCGTCTTTCTAGTTAGTCTCAAATTTGGGATTTGGAGGGGGCACTAGAAGAAAAAGTGCCTTTTGCAACCAATATCTCCACAACCAAACAAAAAATGGTTGCGAAAAGCCTAATATTTAGGATCAATTACATTTTAGTGTCAAATCACCAATTCCGATTCCGACTCCTACTTCTCCTCCCTCCTCGTCGTCTTCTTCTCACTTCCTCTGAGTCCCTCCTCGTCTTCTTCTTCTTCTCAATTCCTCTGAGTCCCACTTTGCTACTCCAGTCTCTCGAGGAAGTGATTATGGAAGGTTGTTTTGTTCGATGATCTGTCCCTGTCGAGTCTTAGAAGGTAACTTCGTATCTGATCCGATTTCTAATGTCTTTCTAAATTGAGCTGAGGTATGGCTACGGTTTAGGATTTGAACTTGGTCAAGGTATAGCTCTGATTTGTTGAAGCTCATCAGGAACAGAATCTCACCAGCGTCGTTCAAATCCCTAGCCAGGGCATCCAATCTCATGCCTAGCCTCTTCGATTTCAATCTTGAATTCGCCGCCGGGGAACCGCGATGTCATTTCCTTTGTCTACCTCGCTGCTTCACCACCAACACCATAATAGCGCGGTCGTTCATTTTTTGTTAGAATGGTCTCTCCTCCCTTCGCCTTAACTAAACATTACTAGTAAGAATAGAGAGACTACATGCAAATAAGAAATTGGTCAGAATCTATCCAACATCAGACTTATTTTAACATGATGCTCGTCATTGGTGTCAGTTCTTTCAGAAGGAGTGGATTTTACTTTTTATTCCATTTTTCGTTTGTTCCAGGAAAGGATAGAGGGCGAAGTAAGATTGAGAGAGTCATGAGGGAGATGGAGCATGGATTTGGTTTGGATCACTTTTCAGAAGAGAGGAGAGCGAGAGACAAAGTGGGATGAGAGGGGATATGGAAAAAAAGAGACAAAGACTCGAGATTTAACGTGGTTCAGCCTCTCAGAGAGACTTTACTACACGATGGTAACAGTGCTTTTTGTTTCTTATTATTCAGCTGCTATAACCCAAAATTAGGGATATATAGCAGGTATGCACAGCGCTAACCACTTAGGCGTGTGCACCACAAACCGCCCAGTCCGCATAATATACATATATAGAAAACAATCCCTTACTTTCACCATATTTACAAATTACATTTCAATACCCCCCTCAAACTTATGGTGCTTGACGCAACATAAGTTTGTGTGAAAGAAACCAATGTTGGCTGGGTCGAGACAGCTTTAGTAAGGAGATCTGCAGGCTGTTCGTTTGTGGTCAAGTACTAGAGCTGAAGCCATCCAGTAAACATTACTTGATGTATGCATGCAGTGATTCAGAAGGGCACTTTTGCTCGGTACGATTACGGTATATTCAAACACTACAAGTTGTACGGGCAGACGACTCCGCCGGTATTCGATCTGGGGCGCATACCGGATTCCTTCCCGCTGTGGATGGGGTACGGTGGTCAGGATTGTCTGGCCGACCCGGCCGACTTCAACCACACGCTGAGGGAGTTGCGCGACCAGGCCAAGCTGCAGTACGTCGACCGCTACGGCCATGACGACTTCCTCTACGACATTCGAGCCAAAGAAGATGTCTACGACGACTTGATTGGGGTTTTCAAGTCTATAATGGGCCGACAATCTGCCACTGCTTAGCCCTACCCATGATACACGAACCGGGCCGGACCGGGCCTGATCGGCGGGCTTAATCACTGCCAAGGGCCTATCAAGCTGACAACTTTGGTTGTATGAACATGAGCACAAAATGTAAATAGAAAATATGCATCAATAAGGAAGCAAGCTCTAGCTTGTTTCGGTCACATAACACCATGTTTGTGGCCCAAATGTTAGTATGTACGGAAACCAGTGCCCATTAAAAAAAATGTGCCGAAGTTTCTGTCTGTACCATAAACTTGTCACTTCCTATCAACTTGATACTGAAAATGACTAAGTCCCAATTTCCACGTGCTTTGTACGCAATGTGGAGAGCAGCCTGATTATCACAAAACAGTTGGGTGGACTGGGTCTGGTGAACACTAACCTCGTGCAGGAGCCAACGAAGCCAGATGAGCTCACTAACTGTGCTTGCCATGGAATGATACTCGGCCTCAACAGATGATCGAGCAATGACGTGCTGTTTCTTGGTGCGCCAAGAGAAAGGAGCTTCGCCAAGAGCAATGAAGTATCCACTGGTTGACCGTCGAGTGTTTTCGCACCCGCCCCAATCTGCATCACAATAAGCAGTAAGAGTGAGAGGATTATTAGCAGGGGAAAAGAGGCACTGACCGGGAGCAGACTTTAAGTATCGAAGCACACGATGCACTGCATCCAGGTGGCGCTGACTAGGCGCCATGACAAACTGACTAAGGACATTGACAGCATAGGTTATATCCGGACGGGTGACTGTCAAATAAAGCAGAAGACCGACCAACCGACGATAAGGAGATGGGTCGGCAAGAGGGTCGTCAGTGACACGAGTCAAGTGATGGTTTTGCTCCACTAGGAAAGTGCACGGCCGGGTAGCTTCCATGCCAGCATCTTTCAAGATGTCCAAAGTGTACTTCCACTGGTTGAGGACGACGTCATCTTTAGTGCGGGCAATCTCGATGCCCAAAAAATAACGCAAGGGGCCTAGATCTTAGATGGTGAACTGCCGATCTAGGGATACCTTGATTGTGTTGATGAAGTCCAAGTCATTGCCAGTGAGAAGGACATCATCGACGTAGACTAATGCTGCGAAAAACACACTCCCCTACTGATAGGTAAACAAGGAGTGATCAGTTGGGGAGGATCGAAAACCCAGTGCGACGAGAGCCTCTATGAATTTTTTATTTCATTTCCTTGAAGCCTATCGGAGACCGTAGAGGGTTTTGTGCAAATGATAGACTCGGGTATCACTTGGATTTGCAAACCCCGGGGGAATCTGCATATAGACTTCTTCTTCGAGATCGCCGTGGAGGAAAGCATTGTTGACGTCTAACTGATGAAGTGCCAACCGCGGCTGATTGCGATGGCGATGAGCCGGCAAACAGTCACTAACTTTGCCACGGGTGCGAAAGTGTCATGGAAGTAGAGGCCTTCAATTTGGGTATAGCCTTTGGCGACGAGACGCGCCTTGTAGCTCTCTATAGTTCCATCTGGGAAGAACTTGATCTTATATATCCACTTGGCCGCGATGGCATGCTTGCCGGGAGGCAAATTCACAAGACTCCATGTCCCATTTCGCTCCAAGGCTGCAATTTCTTGTGCCATAGTAGCACGCCATCGAGGGTCCTTGAAGGCTTCACGAAATGATCGGGGTTCATCATTAGATGTGACCGCTGCCAAAAAAGCAAGAAAATTAGGGGTGACACCTGAATAAGAAAAACAAGAATACAATGGGTATTTCACGATATGAATTCCCTGAGAAGAATGCCGAATGGAGGTGCTTGTATCATATATCTCCAACCGCTTGGGGGGAACTCGCACGCGATCGCCACGACGCGGGGTAGGAGGCACATCAGTAGCCTCGCTGGCAGGGGGTGGTGGTGAAGGCTGACCAGAAGAGGGCGGAGTAACCCCGGATGCGGACGGGTCAGAGGAGGAATCAACGGAGGGCTGACCTATTGCTGGTGCGTCGACAGGGGGAGCAGCAGCCAGCTCCGAAATCTCGCCCTCGTGCACTAGAGGCGAAGAGAGAGTGGGCTGAGGGATCCAGTGGAGGTGATCATGTTTCCCTTCGCGAAAGGAGTCTCCGAGAAGTGAACATCTCGGGATATAATGATCTTGTGGGAAGTAAGATCATATATTCTGTATCCCTTCTGAGTCATGGGATAGTCGATAAAAACCCGCGCGAGACCTCTCTCCACAAATTTATCCAGGCCCGCATGGGTATCTTTGAAGAAAATCAAACATACGAATGCACGCAAATGCTGATATTGCAAGGGCTTCCGAAAGATCACTTCGTAGGGGGTTTTTCCGGTAGCCGAAGTCGGTAGTCGATTAATGAGATAAGTATCTGCGAGGATTCACTCACCTCAGAAACGGATAGGGAGACACGCCTTGAACTTCAAGGCGCACGCCATGTCCAGGATATGTTGGTGTTTACGTTCGACTACGCCGTTTTGTGAGGCTTGTCGGTGCAAGAGGTTTGTAACAAGATAACCTCCTGTTCGGAATAGGAGCGTAGGACATCACTGGTGAACTCGCTGCCATGGTCGGTTTGAATCCGACGAACCTGTGTTTAAAACAGAGCTTTGACCATATTGCAAAAGGCAATCAAAAGATGACTGACATTGGATTTATAACGTGAAAGATAGACCTAGAACCTACGACTATAATCATCAACTATCGTGAGAAAATAATGAGCACCATTAGAAGATGCAACCCGATAACCACCCTAAACATCAATGTTTATTAACTCAAAACAGGACTTAGTCTTGATCATACTAGACTGAAACGGGGTGCGGGAGAGTTTCGCCCGACAACAAGAATGACAAAGGTCCTTGTTTGAAGAAACAGTAAAAGATAGCTGCAGACTAAGATTAATCATGACGGCGCTTGAGGGATGCCCCAAATGACCATGCCAAACATCCTCCGAGATCTTCCTTCCTGCTGCGAGAGCTTGTACACGTCCTGTTCCAAACAAACGCAGGTAATAGAGACCATCTCGAAGTTCACCATTCCCAATCAACTTCTTAGAGAGTAAGTCCTGGATGACGCAAAAGTTACCAAGAAAGATCAATGCCACATTGTTATCTTTGGTTAAACGACTTACCGATACCAGGTTCCACCGGAATTCCAACACATGGAGAACACGATCCAGAGTTAAACCAGATTGCAACTTAACATAACCAATGTGCTTAACTGAGATACTCGTACCATTGGGTAGGCGCACTGGCTGCCCATCCACATTGACATTCTTGTTTGAAAAGATTGTCTCATCCATGGTTATATGTTCGTTACAATCGAATCAAGTAGCCATTCTGAATCAAAAGTAAACATACCTGCCATATGAGCAGGTGGATCGTCCGATTTAGAGGACGAGTCATAGAATTTCATCAGCTGCTCAAGTTGGGCAAGAGAGAGGTTTGGGGACGACAAAAGTCGTCCCCGGAAATAGGAAAAATTGTCCCTATAGTTTTTGGGGACGACAAAAATTTAGGTCGTCCCCATTACTAGGGACGACAGTCTTCCCCGATACTCGCAAGTCGTCATCTTGTTTCTTGTCCATGAAAGACAAAATGTCGTCCCCATAGCTATAACTTTAGCGACTATAAGTCGTCCTCTAAACATCATTTCTAGGGACAACCTGTTGTCCCACATAATCGATTTCATAATTGCGTTGGGACAATATGGGGATAAAATATCGTCCCCTTTTATTTTTATAGGGTTGACATGTCGTTCCCATAGGTATCAAATTGGAGTCCAAAAATCGTCCCCAAAAGCTTTATTGAAGGACTATGAGTGGTCTCTTATTCTATATCTTTAGAGACGACAAGTTGTCGCTTATGACTTTTAGGGACGAACAATTGTCCCTTAACTTGTGTATTGGGGGACAAGGAATTGTGACTAATGCACCTTATGGGAACGACTAATTATCTCCTACGTAACTCGTATGAACGACTTGTTGTCCTTTAGCGTGTGTCTTTTGAGATGACTAATTGTCACCTATATGACTATATCACTTGTGGGGACGACCAATTGTCCTTTACCCTGTATTTCCAGGGACATCTAATTGTCACTTATTAAATTGTAGGGACGATCATATGCCCCTTAATCAATATCGTAAGGAACAACAAATTGTTACCTATGTAAGTTCTGGGAGACGATCAACGAAGGGTTACCTTGTAAACTCCAAGTGAACCATTGGAACAATCTAAGGACATTTCTCAATATAAAAAATGTGTCATTGAATCATCTTCATAAATAAATTGAAGCAAATTTACTATAATATCATCACAATCCCATAATAAGAATACCAAGATTCAACATTTGATAGACTAAACATCCTTAGCAAAACAATAAATAGTATCAACTAAAAGATGAGTTAGAAAAATCTATAAAGTGTGCTAGCTGTTATCTCCTATTATAAACGTACTATAATATATCTTTGCAATACCACAGCTCGATTTGACCAACCCGCATCTTCTCTTATCTCCTGAAATATAATAAAATTCAAAAGTTAATCTTCTAAGCAACATTAATTGGATCAGAATAAAAAAATACAGTATTATTAACAATACAAGAGACACAACTACATACAATTAAAAAAATAAAATACTTGTATTGAATTATTGGGGTGATCTCTTTCTCATACTCTCTGGTGCCTCCTTTTGTTCACCGCTTGAAATTCCTAATTCAATTAGAATTATAAGGTCGAATCGATCGAATTAGGGTTAATTATTACTAGAATACGGGTAAGTTGTTAGTTAGCAGGGGTTAACTAGGGATTTCTCTATATTGAATCATTTTTGCTTTTCACTTTGGAATAGAGAGCTAATAAGGTTCAACTTACCTTTGTGAAAATATGGAGAAGAATTAAGGGATTCAATTGATTTCTTTCTTCTCGTTGTGAAAATATAAAGAGAACCAAAGATTTAGAGGGGGGACTTTGTACCTAGCCGCCAAGACGAAATTTCAGAGCTCCACCTCGCTGCGCCGCTTCAAACAATCGAAGGCTCTGGGATTGCGTTAAGGAATCTTTCTGAAGAAAACAGCAGGAACGGAAGGAGGGCAGGAGGCTGTGAGGTAACTCCGTGGCATCTTGTATACCAAAGAAGAAGAAAAAAGCTGACCGTAATTGAGAGCGAGTGAAATTGCTTACTTGATCACGGAGGAAAAATCCTTTCCGGGAAGAAAATTTTGTGGAGAAGAGGGTTTGTGTGTCCAGGGCTCTAGGCTATCTCTATAAAGG